GAGAGAGAGAGAGAGAGAGAGAGAGAGAGGGAGAGAGAGGATAGTGGTCCAGACTCCTCGTAGCCATGCCGCCGACCCTTCCGCAGCCTCCCGTTGTTATACCTGCGTTCCACACGAGTATTTTGCGTAGTGTTATTAAAGTTCAACAGTTGAAGGATTTACCATCGAACAAAATCGATAATATGGTCGATAATATGGTTTTTTTAAAAAAAGAAAAAAAAAACTTAGTTTCTTTTTATTAATTGCATTAACGACTCATTTTTGAATACGTTTGTATGCCGCTAAATACAAAGTATTAATGTTTAATTAATTAATAATAAATTAAATAATTATACGCGAAATGATTGTGATAATCAAATAGAGTTGATTGAAATTTTCCGATATCTTGTATTCCTATGATTTCAAAACGATTTGTTTAGTTTTAAAAAAATGTATATATAACTTTCTTTTTACATGCTTAATCGTGAGAATATCACGATCAAGGTTTCTCTTTATCAAAATATTACGCAAGTGAGCACGCAATACTTTTGAAACGACATGAAATTTTTCATGACATGAACTCTTATCATTGAGAAAAAGAACAGCAGTTGTATAAAAAGAGAAATATCAAATAAAACGAGAAAAAAATATAATATTACTGCGTGCCAGTGACTCTCTGAGTGAATGATCGTAATCGACCGGCAAGTAGAATGTCAAATGGGGCAAGGTTAATCGCGATCGATCAATTTCCGCGTTCTGTTCTACTTACTTGAACGTTTTCTTATACTTTTAGTTAGAGGTTAAAAAATAATAAAAAATAAATAAGTAAAAGACAGAGGAAAGGAAAAGAGATACGTCGCGTGATCGACACTAACAAGGGCACGACAATCATGTACAACCTCCGATTTTTGTCAAACTTTGCACACTTGTAGTGGTTCATGAGGAATATACATTGCAACATTTAAAAATTGATTGTGACCAACTATTTACGGAAAAAACGGAGGGAGGAATTTTGCAAAATTTTTTGTTTTTCATGAATCTTCGACGGAGAGAATTTTTTTAAATTCCGTTATTTTTTTATTGTAATGTGTGATTAATTCACTTTATTTTGTTGTTTATTTTCTAGAATATGTTATGTTAATTTTATAGTGAATATAAGCAAAAAGAAGGGTGCATTTGTATCATAGAGCGTGTTAAGTTGCTTCTAATTGCGAACGTTTTTATTTTGTTAAAAAATAAACATTATTACGCACAAGTAATATAATAAATAATTGTAAATAAAACACACAATACAATAAATAAAATAAATTAATCTTGTTACGTAAAAATGTAACGGAAGGAATAAATCGAGCGGCATATTTTTCGAGATCGTTTGGGCTTTGAGAATCGTACCTGAAGATGCAGAGGCAATATCGCAGCACATTCTTGGAAGTCATAAAACTAGCAAACGAACAGATCAAACAACCCAGGTATGAGTTTTTATCGCCACGTAGTTCCCGCTACAACATCTACGAAAAACTTTATTTTCTGTATCGATAGACTATGGGGGTGGACTTTCTTGTTATTGGACAGTCAACCTAAAGAAGGGATACCAATCATCTTCTTGCTATAAAAACCCGCGAAGCAACACACCATATTCATTCATTCATTCAAATCGATTCTTTACGCTCTATAATACAAATGCACGACTCTTTTTGATTATTTCTCTATAAAATTAATATAATATATTCAGGAAAAATAAATTAATTCTACTTGGCAGTAAACGAAAATAAAAAATAATGAAATTAAGAAAAATTAAGGAAACAAAATTTTCCTCGTTGAGGATTCGTTTCGGCGACATTAGGGACACACGACCGCGCTGCACCCGTTATGCTACTGAAGCAAATGACATAAATAAACGTAAGAATTTTTGTGAAATTTCTACCCCACCTTTTGTTCGTAAATCAATTTTTAAAGGGTGCAATGTATATTCTTCTATAGACCACTACAAGTGTTCAAAGTTTGAAAAAAATCAGAGGTTGCACATGATTGCCGTGTGCCCTCTCTTGTAAGACTAAAATGTTTCTACGCAGACCGTCTACTCGTTGAAGATTTTAGAGGAAGCGAGAAGGAAGAAGGAAATTCGAGATGGGTTTGTTGGTTGGTTGGATGGTTGGTCGGTCGGTTGGTTGGTTGGTTGGTTGGTTAGTTGGTTCGTTCATTCGTTCGTTCGCTTGTTGTTTGCCAGAGTAGCAAACGCGAAGGTGTTGGAGCATGTTAAATGGCGGAATTCGGGCGGAACGTGCGGTTTCTTCGTTGAAATTATAAAGAATGATGATGGCACACGTGGCGCCGATGACAAGCCGGCCAGCGCTGGTCTTGTTAGAAAGAAAGAGAAGGAAGGATAATAGGAGGAGGAGAGTTGGGGGGAGGATGGCTTTTGAGATAGAGAAAGAAAGAGGGAGAGTGTTACGGATAGATATCGAGAGCCGGCCGGTTCCTAATTCGGATATAGGTGTGTAATGATGTTATTTTTAGAAGTTTAGCGCCTTTTCATTCTCCGCTTGCTTTGGCCGAACGCCAGTAACGCTCGCGCGCCCAAACGGAGGCCATGCGAAACACGTGGAAGCGTTGCAAGCCCTTTACGCATGCGCTTCCTATGTCTTCATTTATATTCATCTTTCTTTCTCTCTCTCTCTCTCTCTTTCTCTCTCTTTCTCTTTCTCTTTCTTTCTTTCTTTCTTTCTTTTCTTTTCTTTCGTTTTCTTCTTTTTTTTTTCCTTATGCTTCCTCCCACCGGTAGTATGTGAATTTAAGCGCGTCGACTAAAAGCGTTGGCGCCTTCCTCGTTCCTTTTTGCTTTTTCTGCTAAGAGTCGAACAGTTTCTTCGTTTATACGAAGTTCCTTGAGGACAATGAGTTTTTAACAGTTTCATTTTCTTATATCGGGTTTATGTTTTTTTTTTTTTTTTTTCTTTTTTTTTTTATTGTTTTACGCTCGTGTTTCTTGATATATTATAATTGAAGTGATACATTTATCGAAACAAGTAATAAACGATTTCTATGCTCGTGAAAAATATGTTTATTTCATCGATATTTCTTTGTTTCATTGTATCTAAACGACTTAGCGTTAATGAATGTGCATATTAAATGAGTCTATCGGTATAGTTGATTTTTATCAAAAGCTTATAATTATAGTTAACCGTGATAGCTGTAATCGATTAGAATAAATAAAGCGTGAATTGACGAGGAAAATCGTCAGCCCGGTTTGTTTCCGTTCTCATGAAATATTATTTACCTTGAAAAATTCGTCGCGTTTACGGCGTCACTTTTTTTTTTTCCTTAATAATTCTCTGTTTTACGTAATACTTCGGGTCAAAGTGTCAGGGTGAGCGAAAATATAATATTGAATCGTGTATGCAAATCAATGCAAGTAATTTTAATGCTAAACATTATATCGTCCAAGTATTAGACACAACGTGCACGTGCGAAAAAGAAATCATTTATTTTACATAAATATGATTTATAAAGTGATTGAAAATTCAAGATTCAGAAATGTATTATCTTGTTAATCGAATCACATCGATCTTTTTACTGTAGATGATTGTTTAATTTGTATCCTCGGTCGGAAGTAGATGATAAGACTTTCCTTAATGGAAAAAGCCCGAATTTGAGTATCTGCGGAAGTAGAGAAAAGGATATGATTAGAGGAACGTACTTTGGTTTTGGCCTTGACAGAAGTCATCATTGTCCGTATCCGGGTTTGCCAAAGAGAAAAAAGGAAAGAAGGAAGAGAGATGGAGAGAGTAATCTGGAGCAACCGGATTTCCAGCGATTGCGCGGAACGTCAGACGAGTACAGAAACTGTACGCCTACATATTTTCTCCCTCCCTCTCTTTCTCTCTCTCTCCCTCTCTCCCATTGTCTTTCCTTATTCTTTGACCAGCACGTGGTATCGTTCGCCTTGTCAAAGGGTGTCCTTGCTTCTAACGGTTTGGTTCGTGACTTGTCTTGAACTCGAAAGAGTCGATTATGCGTTTGCCCTTGTAAACGACAGGAGTCTTTAGATAAAACATTATCGAACATCCGCCAAAAGACGATTACGGCGCCATGTCTTGGCCCGGACGTTGCTCAAAGTCTCATTTTTGGCTGTGCCAAGTCGTTCTCCCGTTGAGAAAGAATGAAAGAAGGAAAGCGAATGAACGGTCAAACGATCGTTTCCGCTCTTTGGAGCTGACCTTCGCCTTGATCGCAAGAAGGGTCGAAGGAAGTGACTTGGCCAGTCAATTAACGGACTTGACTGTGGTCTCTGAACTGTGGTTCAGTGATAATGACTTTTCGAAGTATTTCGAGTCTATCGCTTCGCGCTTTCAAGAGTTTTTCGTCAATCGAGCGCTTAACAAATAATTATTTTGTTTTTCATCGAAGGGGATTCAAATTTAATTAATATCATTTTATTTTCGTTTTTATCGGTCTAAATAAAAACTGCTTGATCGTTGAAAATATTAACGAATATATTTTACTAATTAATCTTATTGCTTTTCTGTTACAGAAGAAGAAGAAGAGGAGGAGGAGGAAGAAGAGGAGGAAGAGATCGACGTTGTGACGTTTGAGAAGCCTAGTCAAGAAGAAAACCAGCAGCTGCTGCAGTATCATTATCAAGAGTATCCACAGAAGCAGCAATTTCAGCAACGTTTACAACGATCACAGAACGTGAAAGAAAAGAGAAGCACTTTGGCAGCAACGACTCAAGCACCAAAACCACGAGGAAGGCCACCGGCGAGTGCAAAACGAAAACAAAAAGATGTAGCGAACGCTGTTGCAGTCAATAATAAAAGAAAGTGTACGAGAAACACTCAGAGAAGAAAAATGACAAAAAACATTAAAGATGGCGTTAGTTCAAAAAGCTCGTCCGAAGATGAGGTAGATACCGAAAAGCGAAGTCTACACAATAACATGGAAAGACGAAGACGAGTCGAACTTCGGCATCACTTCGAGCGTCTTCGTTGTCTGGTACCTGCGATTCAAAACAAAGAAAAAGCTGCAAAAGTGACGATTCTTAATCAAGCTACCGCTTACTGCAAAAATCTGCAGCGTGAATTTTTTGTTTATGAAAATGAGATGGCATATTTAATGCAACAACAGTCAGTGTTGAGGGATAAGCTTAAATTACTTAGATCTAACCACGCTAGGAGTCGTCACAGAGAATATTAGAAAGCCAAATAAAAAATGGAAAGGGTGCCCGAATCAGTTATAAATCTCCATATAACGAGCTCGCCTTTATAAACATGCATATATACATATATGTATTTACATTTTTATCACTACATGTTTACATTTATCAACATAGAAATGTAAATCAGTTAAATTTGAAGACTAGGACGATTATGAAGAAGAGGACGACAACTGATGAATCTTTCAATTTTCCCACATGAAAGAGATGTCATAAATTGACGATGAATACTACGATTGGATATTAGTAAAAGTTAATCACAAGCTACCACGACTACGCACCTGCAATTTTTGTGATAAAAAAGTACACGGAAGAAACATCATTTTCTTTTTATCAAAGGAAAAAATGCGAACGTGGAAAGATGCAGAGACGCGTTCTCAAGACGTTTTCGCTTCATTTTTATTATTTGGGAAATAGTAATAAGAAAAAAAGAATGATCGCAAATTAGATAGGAAAACACGGGAAAAGTAATGGATGAAGGTTAGCGATAGGCAAAGCACATCCAAGAACTTACATGATTTAGACGTATTTTGTACTTTTTTATTTATGACTTTGCTTCGCGTATCGTTCCTTATAAAAAAAAAATAGAGATAAAGGTAGATAGATAGAGTAGAAAAAGAAAGAGAGCGAGAGAGCGCGAGAGCGCGAGAGAGAGATAGAGATAGAGAGAGAGAGAGAGAGAGAGAGAGAGAGAGAGAAAGAGAAAGATAGAAAGAAAGAAAGAGAAAGATAAAGATAAATGTAGAGACGTGCACACGAATAGTCCGCATTTCGATGTTCCTCGTTGGGAGTGTCTTGTTCATTTTTAAAGGCGCAACGTTTGTTAATTTTTTTCTCTCGAAATCCTCTGCACACCCCCAACCCCCCATAATTTTATACCATATTCGACGGACAAACAAATACAACATCTGGTACGTATGCCATCCTCTCGGTAAGTCCGCGAATATTTTTTTAACACGTGCGCCAAAACGTAATCCCAAACAAGAAAAGAAAAAAAAAAGAGAAGAAGAAGCGAGGAGGAATAATATCTTTCGTCTAATGATCAAGACGATAAGGGAACACATTTGTGTGTTATGCGGTCTTGCACAGGCGTGGATTTTAAAACGCCGATATTGAACGTCCTTTTATGCAACTAGTTTTAATTTCCCTAGTTTAACAACGTAGATAAAGCGTACAGTACGAGTACGAAGAGAACGAGGAGACTTATTAGGATTATTATTAGTCAAACGTTTCTTACCGGTTAATTCCCTCCCTTTTACTGTCATCGTTTCTTTACTCCTCATGATTGGAGTTGTGATTCGCCGAATTTATGTATTATGTATATATACAAACGTGCATACGAATCGATTTTACTCAGCTCTTGCTTTTATTCCGCTGAAATTAGAGAATTTTGATTATTTATGGGAGGGGACGGTCCGATTAAGAAATTTTCTTATAACTTCATTTACTCTCTCTTAGTTGTTCGAAATAAAATCTCGAATATTTTTCTCATCACTTTTCTCATTGATTTATTTTTCTTTGTAAATAAATGTAGGATTCTCTTTATTCTCTTTATAATAGGAGATATTTCATATTGATCTATAAAACAAGATTTTCACTCATCTCCAAGACAGTAAACACGTTAATCTTCCTCGTTCTCTTTGACAATTAAGAAAAGTCAAAAACAAAACAAAACAAAAAGTAAATCGATCAGCCATTCTATCAATGACTTTTTCAAAATGATGCATGGTGTTAGATGTGTTGATTATTTTTAGAGGAAAAAGTATAAGAGAATTAGGGAAGGTCAAAATAAAACGTCGTTTGATGGATAAAAATTAGATTTCTGCACTTAATTGATTCATATCATCTCGACGGATTTTCTATCTTTTCACTTTTTTTTTTTTTTTTATATCTTAGTTGTTATTTTTCACTCGATGGACCATCCGAAATCTTTACTGGAACACCCACACATCGTACGTTTCTTATTTTACTCCTGCTCTATTTTTTTTTTTTTTATGCAATATCATCTCTTCTGAAAAAGTTAAGAAAAAAGGAAGAAAGATAGATAAAGACATTTTTATAGATATAGTTGTGTCTTATGCATATACACTGACAAACACAAACACACATATACAATATATATCTCGATCGACATTTTTCGTATGGGTGCAATAAAACGAACAACAAATTGGAGATTCCAAACAAGAAGTAACTGGATCCTATTTGTTTATGTTATTTTATATTAGCAATTCTAGGAATTAATTGTTATAACGATCGAGGTATGTACCGATGGGTGTCGTAACCAGGATCAGAGATGGAAACGGGATCAAACGATTTTTTTTCTACACTTGGTCCCGTTCGCAAAATGAGTATCATTATCTTGATTTTGATTCCGTCGGGATGATATATACCTGTATGTGTAATGAATTTCTTCTGCAAATTTTTGTCGTTCCTTCTTTATTGTTTATTTTCGTTTTTTCTTCGTGGAGTACGTAGATAACGCGCAAAAGAGAACTTTATTATGATTAGAAAGATTCTTCAAGTTTCATTAAAGTACGCTTTTTAACGTATATACATATATACATATAATATAAATAACACGTATAATGTACATAGAAAGATTTCTAAACGAAAGATACATGTATATTAACGTAAATTACTTCCCTATATAAAATATATGTAGTATATATATATATCCATATATATACTATCGTACGTAGATAAATATATATATATATATATATATATATATATACACGTATATACAATGAATAATTGCGTATGAACGTATGAATGTAACAACAAGAGAGAGAGAGAGAGAGAGAGAGAAAAAGAAAGAAAGAAAGAATAGTGTGTGAAAGTAAAGAAAGATTTATAACCATTAACTATTGACATTAGTTAGTTCGCGGTATGCATTAATTAATATTATCATTATTATTGGTTTTCAGTTCATTATTTTGTTCATCATGCTATCGCTAATTATATCAATACGATTATTATTTACTACTAATTATCGAGTCACGGTGGTATAAGCGATTGTGCTAATCCTATAAGATTTTCAGGTTAGAAAAATTTATAATAATAATATGTTTATCATATTAGATATTAAGAACTAACTCGGAAAGAAAAACATAGTGAACACATAAAAATGCACAGACGTATGCACACATAAACACACACACACACACAAACATACATACACACATAGAGAAACACACCGACAATTTATACACAACGATAGTAGATAAATTTGAAAAATGGAAAAGAGCGTGGGTTCCCTTTTCAAAAGGGAAGGAGAAGATGCAACATAATGTGTTCATTACATTGTAGGTAACAGTATTTCTATATATAATATATATATCTATATATATACAATACATATATTCATAAGCTTTTTACAAGAAATAAAAAAAATAAAAAGAAATAAGGAAAGAAACGAGGAAAAGGACGACTGATTGTTTTCGAGGAAAGCTAACGTAATATGCGATACAACATAGATATATATATATACATGTGCGCACACGCACTCTCACACACACAGACACACACATAGACATACACATAATATACATCAATCCTTATTACGCATACATATAGGCGAGAGAATAAAAAAGAAAGAGAAGCATAGATAAGTAATAAAGAAAAGGCCAGGTGTAGACTAGCGGAGTAAGTAATGCTAGTGCTGTTAATGACTCGGAGAAGGATTAAAATTTAAGATGACGAAGGGTGATCGAGAGTAGTTTCTTGGTGTGTTAAGGGACGGATGAATGGCAATGGAAAGAGAAGGACAAGGAGAAACGATTAGGAGATTCGAGTGGGCATGTGCGTCGTTAAATAAAGTCTCGAAAACTTTTGACGTTAGCGACGCTTCCATACATATGCTTACTACAATTACACATACACGCACGGGTATACGTAAATTATGGGCTAATTATTGGTAGAAAACGAATTGCGACCTAAGTGCTTCGGATATTATACTAACATACATACATACACACGTATATATATATGTTACCGTTAAAACGTGAAATCCGTTAATTCATAAAATAACCATCCAAATCATGAAATAACTATTCTAAATAGTTAAAGTATGAAATAATGCAGAATTACATATTTCAGCTATCTAGTATAAGAATTCACGAGAGACGATTAGTTAAATTATGAAATCGAATTTAGATCCGTAGATTAGATTCGATAGAACAGCACGACTAAATGAATAATGGTTTTCAAAGTATAGGAACAAATAAAAACGAATAATTATGGGCATAGTTGTAAAAATAAAAGTAGACTCTAACATTTAAACCGCTGCGTCACCAATAAATGTTTTGAACATACCTCGTAACCCCGTATAATGGGTAATGCTTACATTGACTTCCTACCAAAAATTATTAATAGATATTTGAAAGGATATTTCATATAATATAATAAATCTCTGTTGAATCATTTTAAAACAGTCTATACGAAGTTGTGATTTTTCATTTTCTCTCAATTTTGATCAGTTTGTATTGACTTCTCTTTTTCTTCACATTATGCTTAAAACTTGTAGAATAAGATTTTGTTGTATCTTCTTTCCGCCCTACTAATTTTTTAGCTTAATGATAAAATCGTTTACAACAATTGAAACTCTCAGAAAAAGATGTAATAAGTTTGTTCTTCATTGTTACATGCACGAGCTGTTACATTACTTACTAAGAAACGACTTCGCTTTTTTTTTTCGACATTGCCAAAAATTAGGGAAACAATTTTAACGTATATATCACTCGTTATTACAGCATTGATATATTTTTTATTTTTTTGAAAACAAGGAATACATTTTTAAACCTCGGATGTTTCACCCTCGACTACAGATTTTCAATTGAGTGAAGGTCTCTGTGAATTTTGTTATATATTTGTTACAAGACTTTGTTACACACTAAGAATAGATAAAAGAAAGGTACTGTATTTATTCACGAGAAGGGATATCATAATCCTATTGTTATAAGCCCACTTTTTATAGCATTCCGAATCACTGAACGCGTTGCCTGACGGATATATTCTTGTTTTTTCGCGTGGTGGCTTAAGTATCAATTTCATACTTTAATTATTCCCTTCTCATGAATTTATATATTAACTAGTTATTTCATGAATAACCCGAATTATACACTTTAACGATAACATATACATATAACTTATACAAGACAAGTGTTTTTAATGGGCTGGCGGTTACAGCTTATAACTAGGGACGTAAAATGACTATAAAATAATTTGTTGCCGGGAAAAGGGAATAAAAAAGAGGGTCTTTAAAATAATAAGTACCAAGCATTTACATAGAGTACATGATAAATAGACGCAGTTTGAATTTCGAAGGTAATATTTGAAGGAATCGCACCGACGCTTTTGATGAACCGCGATCATTTTTTCGCGGCCACTTGCACTTGCTATATTTTTGAAAGACTATTGTACTTTATTCCACGTTAGAAGGAAGAGTTGTTGAGCTTTTTTAGAGAACAAGATAGGATCAGATTTATATAATAAACATTGGATCTCACTCAGGATAATAATACGCGCCTTAAATCCGTATCTGTTCTTATTGTCGGTGAAATGAAAGGACAGAGAGGGAGGAAAAGAAAAAGAAAAAAAAAAAAACAAACAAACACGAGAAAACGTGGATATGCAAAAGAGTAAGTTATAGTAGGTACACGTTAGTAGTTCGATTGCGTAGAAAAGAATATAACGTATTAAGATGGAAGTTCTAATGATAATGGAAATGATCACTAAATTATCTTTCCACTAAATAGAAGTTAGCAATGTCGAAACGATTCGAAAGAGCTTTGCAGTTTGAAGCTTCGCAGTAGCAATTCGTTGGCATTCTTCCCTTATTTTTTCCTTACTTTGGAAAACACGATGAATCTACCCTTTTTGTATCTGTGCCAGCAGCGGTATTATCCACTTCGCTAAGATTTTCATCGCAGCGCTAGGAAAAGATATATCGGTCGTTCGAGAATTTTTATTACAACGTACCACTGATATCTAGATAGAACG